CCTTATCAGTAACAGCTCTGCATATAAGCTTGCTAACTAAAGCAACTGCAGAGCTTTGCAAAAAATATATATAGAGACGTAAAACATAAAAATCTCAACATCCACCCATATGCTGCTTAAAGGATTTGTGCCTTTGAACTTGAAGGTTGAACAAATCGGTTGAAGGTAAAAGCGTGGAGAATGTAACTAGTAATCAAAGAGTGGTCATACTAATATCAGGTGATATATACCCTAAATTAAAGATTGTTATGATTCGAAATGGTATTATGTATTGGTAAATGGTCAATTTACAAAGACCTAAAAATTGCAAACAATTTCATATCACTCAACAGAACCTCAAAATCTAAATAGAGATTGAACAGAAGAGATAAATAGATTTTCTAATGGATAATTGACTGGCCAAATTTCAGTAATAACTGGGCAATCTAATAAGAGATCAGTAAGCCAGTAGAGAACTTGAACAAAGCCTTGTGATAACTAGTACCAAAACACAAACAATGGGCAAACAAACAAACAAAAACCTGGAAGCAGAGCTGGGTCAAGCTAAAAGAAGTATTCAAGAATTAAGAGACACTATTAAAAGGCCTAACATAAGAGTTATTGGAGTTTCAGAAGGCGCAGAAAGAGAAGCTGGGTTTAAAAATGCATTCAATGAAATAATAAAGGAAAATTTCCCTAATCTGGAGAGAATTGGGAAACAAGATCCAGAGGAGCGCAGAACTTCCAACAGGCTTGATCAAAAGTGATCCTCACCACAACACGTGATAATCAAGATCTCTTCAATCAAACAAGGAAAAGATCCTTACATGTGCTTGTGAAAAAATCAATTGACAAATAGAGGAATGACGACTAAAGCAATGCTAATCTCTCACAGGAAACTCTACAGGCCAGAAGAGAATGAAGTGACATATTCTAGTCATGTTCTAGTAAATAAAAGCAAAAATTGTTGACCCAGAATAATGTACCCCAAAAAGCTTTCCTTGGACTTTGGAAAGAAATAAAATTCTTCCACAGTAAGGAAAAGTTAAAAGAATATGCTTGTCCATACCTGCCCTACAAATGTTCTAAAGATGTTCTCAAAGCATCCACCAAAACCAAAGGCAAATGTGAAGAACATCCCAGTAAAATGACAACAGAAGACTAATACAACAGCCCATTCCTAAAATGACAGGACCAAATAACCACCTATCCATATTACCTCTGAATGTAAATAACTTAAAATCCATCAATCAAATGTCATAAATTATTAGGATGGGTTAAAAAACAAATCAACTGCCTACAGGAGACAGATTTCACCGACTAAGATCAGCAGACTCTATATCTCAAGGATTCCGTTTTTCAGTTTCACTTCTTTAAAACAGTTTTCTCATTCAATCCTTCACTGATCATACATTACACAGTTGCATCATTTTCTTCAAGAAGGTTTGTGATTTTCCTTGGCATTTCTTCAGCTACACATTAGTAATTCAGGACCATGTTATTTAACTTCATGACATTGTAGATTTCTATTTTTTCTTCCTATTGTTGATTTAGTTTTGCGGCTTTTCATTTAAGGGGATGTATAGTAACTGTGCAATGGAGACTATCATATCCAGATGTGAGGATACAATGCATTATGCATCTCTACTTCCAGACAAAGATGGACTCCCAATGAAACTGTTTAGTATATCTTGACAATATGAAGCTGGATTCTCTGCCATTGTCTATGCCTACAATGGTGGACTTATGACTGACTATGAAGAATTATACTATTGTAATAATATAGGGGAACTCAGTGGAGGGAAGGGTGTTTGGTGAGAGGGGAAAGGGAAAATTCCAGAACATATGGAACTGTACATAAAATGATAATAATAATAGATAAAAATTAAAAGTGGGAAAAAAGAAGCCAAAAATTTGTACACGAACATTTTAAGACAAGAGTGCCAAACACCATTCAATTGGGAGAAAATCGATAGTAAATGATGTTGCAACAACTGAGTATCCATAGGAAAAGTGAATTATATTGGCACCATGCTCCATACTACACACAAAAATGAGCTGCCAATAGATGGCTGATCTAGTATGAAACATAAAGTCATAAGACCAAACGAAAACATGGGAGTGAATCATGTAACACATTCTTTGATAATGATGCCCAAAGTACGGGAAACAAATGCAAAAACTAGATGTGTTGGCTTCATCAGAATGAATACTTTCCTTTCATCACAAGGTAGCCTCCAGCAAAGGAAGGATACTTGTGAATCAGGTATTTCATAAGGGTCTAGCATTCACAACACAAAAGGAACTGCTCTCGGCAGTCCAGCGACACTGAGAGGGCTCTTCAGCCACTACGAGGTCAGTGTCGACAGCAACACCAGGGAGGATGTGGAAGAGGAAGAAGCTGACATATTGCTGGTGGGGATGTGAAAGGCTGTGGCCACCAAGGGTAACAGGTGCTCCGGGGAAAGCAAACAACAAGAACACCTTGACAGTGCAAACGAGTGAAGAGGGACTTGGAAATGCCAGGTAATAAGCTTGTACAAGCTCTTATAACCAAAAGTCACTGGGGCCAGAAGGCAATACGAGTGTGCAGATAAACCAATGTTTAGGGGAGGAAAAATGAAAAAAAGATAAATTTGTCCAAATACAGGGATTTAATACCAGGTAAAGCTAATTTGACAAAGAAAACATTAAAAATTACAAAGAAAACAATAACATAGTAGAAAATACTTATGATTCACAATGCAAAGAATTTATCTCCTTAAAAAACTTGCTTTTGATTAATTTGCACATGACCAAATGTCCTATAGAAAATGGAAAGGATATGAACAGATAATTCAGAGAAAAAAATACAAAAATAGGAGGACTGTAGACAGCAAAATAAGTGAATTTTAAAGTATGTAACAATATCACATGCATTTCTTGTTAAAAAAAATAAATTTCAGGGACTTTGTTTTAGTCACCCATTGTAGAGTTACATTTCATAAGTCCTGCAGAACCACTTCACAACTGTTGGGAAAGTTCAAACTATCCAATACACAGATTGACCAGATTGAGAAATTAGAAAAACATACAATTATTCTTTAAACCACTGTCATTTAAAAGACTGTCACCAAGAACATTGGAATGGGACTGGTTAAGCAGATTATAATCTTACCTGGGAATACTATGCAGGTTTTAAACTATCAATAAGAATTCTTTATGTACAGATATAACAGAATCTGTGCCATAAAGGCAGCAGCTACAGTCTTGTTTCCCAGTGGTGTGTCAGTTAGCAGTTGTCTCCCCAGAGTGTCTGGGATCAGAGGCAAGCAATCAGCACTTCAGGAAGACCACAACACTTTAGACAGCTCACGCTACTCTGACTTACAGCAGCAGCACCGTTTGCAAGGTTCACAGCATTTTAGGAGCCAGATTCCTAGACCTTTTCCTAGTAAGTATTCAAAATTTTATCTCTGGTCCTTCAGGTCATCTTGTGGTTTCATCTGAATTCTTAGGAAATAGCTTGCTGCTTATTAAAAGCTGAAAACGGGATTTGGGAACATGTTGAACCCTAAATCATAACACATATTCAAATAGTTTGGTATTGAGTTGCAGTTATGGTCATTAAAGCCATGGGGAAAAGATGAGAAACCAAGCCTGATTACAATAGGTGTTGGTTGACCCTTCCCCTTCCTGGCCCCACTGCTCACGCTCTTGATAAGCAAGACCACCTGTTGGCCTTAACTCCACCTGAATTCGCTCTGTTTTCTCCTCATCAGGAGGTTAGCTCCATCAAAATAGAAAATGACACATATTTCACTTACTGTCCCCTGCAGGGCCAAGGCTGTATATAGAAGACAGTGTGTTCTTAACTTGTGCAAAATTAAATTGATTAATAAATTTGAGACTGAATGAATCATTCATCTCCAGTACATTCTTGCTCGGTAGGTGTCTTGTATAGCCAGAAACCGCAACTGAGTGGCAAGTCCCAGATTATTGCTTCAGGGAGCTTTTGATGCACATGAATGTATGAACAACCAGCTTAACGATGCCCAACAAACGTCTTTTATAGAGCAGGACTTCTCAGATTCATTACTTTATTAATGTGCCTTATGACTGTTAAGCATGACTAATACCTTCACATCTGCACATAACCTACAATGTCAGAATATAATTACATAGCAGAATGATGAACTCATGACTGTTGATGAAGGACTATACTATTGTAATAATAAAATAATTTTTAAAAGGTAACTGGATATATGATGCTGCATTTCCAGACTCATCTGATAACGAAGCTTTATTTGGGGACCCTTCTTCTGGGTCAAGGCTGTAGATGCTAACTTGTTGGGTAGTCCCCATGAAACTGGGGCCACATTCTAGAAAACGCTCTGTGTAGATACTATATTGTCGCAATGCACTACTTATATGACGATCTGTATTTTTTGTTCTTAGTAATAATAAATGACATGTAAGCTCTAGATTATGGCTTTCATTACAGTGAACCTGTACCAATCTCATTAAAATAGTCATAGAACTGAAAATTTGGAACTTACTGGGTTAAAGCTAAGAAAAACTTCAAAAAGCCAAAACATTCAAATCATGTTTACTTTGAGAAAGTGGTAATTATCAAGTAATAATTTGATAAATCTTTATAATATATTCAGTTTGAACTGCATACTGTTATTATTTCCAGAACTTGATCTAAGAGAAGAACTAATATTTCTGAGTTATGGAAGGTAAATTAATTCTGTCAGTTAAATCTGATTTAATATGGTTTTATAGTATTTTACTCTAATTCTTTAACATTTCTAGAAGTTGGTGCTTTGGGCTGTTCTGTCTGTAGGAATATTAATAGACATAATATTTTACAGTGATTTTGAATACACAGAAGGTTATTATGTTATTCTGATGTTAAGGTTTGAGGTGGATGGTTGATCTGAGATGCAGTGCAAATAGAATCTTTAGGTGTGACACTTGCAAGCATTTGTACAGCACTATTTCCAAAGTAATATAAAGTAGCATTGCCATTTTATTACCTTTTCGTATAGTTGGTGTGTCACTGTCTGCGATCAGTTGTAAGCAATCTTGAATGGCTAAAAGGGAAAGATATTATTTTAATCACTGAAATAGAAATTACATGGGAACTAGGATTATTGAGAAAGCTGGTAATCCATTTTTTCAGAAGCATTAAACCAACTACTTCAAAACATCACTTCAATACCATTATTTCAAAAGTTACTGCATGAAATTTGCACATTGGTCTTACTAGGTACTTGAAATTTGCATTACTTTAAAAAAAAACTATATGTACTTTTGAAATACAGTAAGTGTGTCACCCATTGAGGCTGGCTCCACCTGTTTTGAAATATTATGGCTGCAGAGAAATCAAGCTTGGAGATTTTTTCCCAAGTCCACCAAATACATAAAACATTTGGACATCATATCATTCTAAAACTTTTATTTTTAAAAAAGAAAAAAAACTAAAGTAATTATTAGCTGCTCCCCCTGCCCCCCAGTGTCACTTGTGCTGACACTGGTGAAAATCAGAACATTGTTTATGCTGAGAGTACAGACATAATGTGGACAAAGTACTTGACACCCTTTGCCCTCTTCCATTCGAAGGAAAGTCAGCCATGAGCTCTTGAAAACTGAGACTCCAGAACCATAGATCAGAGGCTTTGCCAGGACCTCAGCCAGGATTCAAAATCAAGTGTCTTGTTTTGTTGTTTTGTTTGGTAACACATATTGACCCAAAAGAGATGTCTTTTAAAAATTAAGCAGATTTCTATGTAGTTTCATAATAAAGTGTTTTGGAAACATCAATTCACATCTTATCACACGTAGAGTTCTCTGGAAGATTTCCAAAGGAAAGAAGTAAAAATCACCCTGAAGAAAGAGAAATGCCAGCTTGTTGAATTGATAACAGTACTTGTTAGATTTGATAACAGTACTTGTTAGATTTGTAGGAGCAAGAAAAAAAAGGGGCAAAGTCCAAAGCAATGGTGGGAAGAAAAAATGTGGGAAAAAGATCTTCAAGTTTTCATGCTTTATTTTAAGCAGATATTAATATAAATTATTTTCTAGCAGATTTCTTTACTCAATATTGAAGTAGTTATACTTTTTTCTCAGTTTACACACTCTGAGAATTTGATATAGGAAAGAGTAAGAGAAAAGTTTCTTACATTTATTTCTTGGAATAGCAAACATCATATTTTGTTGCTATTCAGATACATACTGCTTAGAAATACGATCATTTAAGAAAATATATTTTAAAATCCTCTTTATTTCTTAAAGTAACAATGTTATGTTAAATTACAATGCTGCTCTTCGGGTGGATACTGCTACAAATGGGATCACTTTGATAGGAGAGCATTGTGGTCTACACCGCAGATTCCCCTGATCCTCAGAAACAAAGGCAGTTATGCCTGTGTTGTGACCGAACGCATTGCTTACTGCAATTACCATGGAGGACCGCTGTTCATTGAAAACACATGGAAAGTCTCACACAGATGAAAGAGCCGGCAAGAAAGGACGACCAAGGCACCCAAGCAGCTCAGCCCGGAGCAAACAGAACCACTTTAAACATGTTCCTAGTTTTCCTACAAATCCTTAGGTCGCTGATTCACAAGCACTGTCATGGGCTCAGTGACAGAACCGAGGGGCAGCCAGGGCAGACACAGCTCTGCGGCGGAGGGAGAGGACAAAGCTCAAAGACAAACTGCCAGGCGTTCAGCCTCTCCCATGCACGTGTATATGTTGTAGCAATGACCTAATGTAACACATGTGACATACGTAACAGGCTTAGTTCTATACGCTGCACATAATGATTTGTTCAAAAAGACTTAGTTATTAGTGATCGTGAAATCAGCATTTTTCTTGTCATATAGCATCAAGCCAAATACACGTAAAATAGAACACAAAAACACTCTGAAAGCATGAAGCCAGACTAAAGTGTTGAAGCCTGGAGAAATACTAGAATATGTCATTCTCTGCATCCCTGCCTCTGTTCCCCGAAGCTCCTGGAGGAGACTGCTTTGGCCCAAGTGTATCAGTCCAAATTCTTGGACTGAAACTCAGTAAACAATGTGATGGTTGTAAAGATGGGGCTCTGGGGAGCTGATGAAGACGCGAAGGTGAATACTGGTGAGTGGGAATCGTGCCTTTATAACAGACTCTCCAAGAAGCGAGCTTTCCCTAAAACCAACGGTGACTCGTTACGCAGGTCCTCGCCTGAGACGGGGTCTGGCAAGCTTTTGGGCTTCCGGACGGGGAGCCGTGAGTACTAAGTCTTTGTCAGTGGCTCCACTCATTGGCACTTTCTTCCAGCAGTCCAGGCCTACAGAGGCCAAGCTCAGACATTCGAGTCACAAAGAGGCCTCCTAATTAAGTCATCACTCACTATCAAACAGATAGGAGAATGTGGGGGTTTTAACCTTACAGTCCAACGAAAATTTGACTCCAGCCAACATACTGAAAGACAAACGTCTATGCTGTGATATAGTAGCAGAAATTGATCCTTTAGAAGAAAAGGTGCTTTAGAAAGAAAAAGCTTATTCCAGAAAAAAGGGCTGTGAAATTGGTAGCTCAACACCCGGGTTGGCTTCTACTTAGCTCACGTCGGTTCTCATTTCTCTTTCTCCCAGTCTCAGGACTGTTCAAAGACAATGTCTTTCAGAAGATCTGACATCCAAAAGCAACTTGGGCTTTTAAACATCTCTTTTTTTTTTCAGCTAATTATCTGCCCCCACAAGGAGAGGGCTGGAGAAAGTGGTATTTTAATATCTCCCAACAGCACAGATAACCAGTCACAGCTCTGAAAAAGCATAGTTACCATTGTAATATTCTTGTTTGGTTCTCAAAATTCTTTCACGCCTCTTTCTCCTACAATTGAAGTAAATTATACAAGGGGTTAAGAATATTTGATTTACCAAACAAGGCAATATCTCAGATTAAAATGTTTCTCAGTCTATTGATGGGACATTGTGAACACATATTCTAAAGATGATTTCATAGCTATGGTAAGACAGTGATGATCATCTTAACAAAACACTTTTGTGCAGAATAAGAAAATTCACTCACAATAAAAAAATTTGTATACTACAAAGTGAATTGCTGACCAAAATTAGTTTACAAAAGAAAATTCCTAAAATAAGAACATAGGAATAAAAATAGTTTGCTACTGGGCAGCTAAATTGAGCCCCTGTTTGAAGATGAACCCTGCTTCCCTGAGTCTCCAGTTTTATCCCAAAGTAGCAAGGAAGTCAGAAGCTTGGAGGGAATGCAAAGGGCCTGTTCCCCAAAAAAGCTATCTGACCAGACCCAAGCGTCAACATCGAAAGGCGACTCCCACTTCTCAGGGCTCTCTCAGAGCGTCCAGACCTTTCCAAAAGCTTTGGCCAAATCAAAAGCTTTGTGACTCTTCAGTTGTATCATAAGCAAGGCGACAGAGCCTGCGGTGTCAGCTTGTCCTGGCAATGCATAGAGAAGGGTCTCTGTCACACCACCAGCACAGCTTTCCGTTTTGAGCAGTCAGACTACAATTACAACCTGTGATTGCTTGCTGCTGTCCCAGTTCTTTCTTTAGTTTTAATCTCAGAATTGTGTTTAAGGGACATCATTTCTACCATTTCTTTGGGTCTTTCTCTCTTGAAAACCCCCTTCTGATGCTGCAGCAAAAGTTCCATCTTTCATAAATTTCGCTTTGCTTACTGAAATTGTCCACATGAAAACTCTCCTTTCGTGTAAGACAAGAACCGAGGTGGAATTCCCCCATAACAGTGTGAAGGTTTAGTGTATATTAAGACCTGTTGTATTAAAAAAGAAAACCCAGAATTTGGTTTATTGACATTGTTTCAACCAACCTGGATCTAACATACACTGACAGGGCGACTGTACATTGCACACAGCCCCCTCAGAAATGTCACTCAGCTTTTTCCCATCTTGTTTATACGGTCTCAGCTGTGTATACCTACATACATTTTTCTTATAGGTTCAATTGCTTATTTGAAAGTCTGTTACGAAGAAGAGAGAGCATGAGAGAGAGAGAGAGAGAGAGAGAGAGAGAGAGAAAGAAACCTTTCACCAGTCAATTCCCCAGATATTTGGGACAGCTAGCATTGGGCCAGGCCAAAGCCAGAAGCTTCTTCTACTTGTGTCACATGGGTGGCATGGGCTATCCTCTACTGCTCTTCCAAACAGGACGTTGGGCTGGAAGTAGAACAGCTGGGATCTGACCCAGTGCCCATCCTGCATGCCAGCATTGGGGGCAGCAGCGTCATCCTCTAGCCTACAGTACTGGCTCCTACGAGTATTTCCCAGTGCTGTGCACGGTCTCCATCAGTCAGCCTCCCGGCTCTACCACCTGCATACGTGCTGTCTGTGGTGTGTCTTCCTGGTCACTCCTTGCCATCTTAGGTTTTGAAACACATGTCCGCACAGATGGAGGATTCTGGAGACAATGCCCCCCTCCCTTTTGGCACACCTTATTCTTGGGCACATGTAACTCAGAACAGATATAGTAGAAGTTTATCATTATTATTATTTTCTTGAAGGAGCCCTGGATAATTTAGTGTCAGGAAAATGTGAATTAAGGGAAACCACTTAAACCAAATCTTGACCTAATTTTAGTGTTGACTTATTAAGAAGTAGAACAAGCAGAATTTTGGATAAACTAAATCATAATGTCTTATTTGCTCAAAGCTATGTAGTTTGCCTAGAGTGGTTACTTACAAAAGCAATAAAAGTTGAGAGTTTATGAAGGATTTCTAGAGAGCTGGATGGAGTAGTGTGTGTGTGGCTCCTTCAAGCATGTGAAAACAGTGCTAAGAACTCTCACAAGGAGCACATGTGGAGGGAGAGCATCCACTGGCTGCGCGGAAAGCAGCTGCTGCAAAGGGGAAGGAGGCGAAGCCTCACCGAGCGGCTGCTGACCAGCACACGGCGAAGAAGGTATGAAACGGAGAATCCAAAGCGAATCGCAAAAACAAATTAAGAAGTTGTGATTGACAGTTATATGTATTCAGAGGAGAGTTGAAAATTACTAACATTAGTCCATTTTTATTTTAGGGTGTTAGGAGAAATGGTGGCACTAAAA